GTGCGCGTATACGTTTGGTCACTTCTGCCGCATTGCTGAACGTGTCGATCTTAAATATATGATTATCGTCGTTGGCAATGCATTCCAACTCTTTCTGGGCGCTGCTTGACTGACTCTTTCCAATCGCCCACACGAAGATTTCATAGCCTGGAAACGATAACAGTGTCCTCATTAATCTCCTGTCTTTATTTCGTAAACATACACATTTCTATTTTAATAAGAAATTATTGATAATAATGATAATAATAATATAATAATTATGATAATAAATATAGCTTAGCACTATATACTTATATAGGTAGTATACAGTGCTTCATTATAATAATAATATATTAGGTATACAATAAGGTTGGTAATAACAATTTTAGTTGCGTGTTTGTTGCTAATTTCGTATCGTATATTTTAGACCACGATTCGAACAAAAGCTTTTGAGAAATAGGGAAGTTGACCACGATTTCAATATGGCGGCAATCGCTACTGATGTCACTTCCGCATGCATGCGTACCAAGATTTTTCATCTCTGCCGCTTTTGAGCACGGATCTCCGCCTTGGTTTGACTGACCGTCGGTTAACACGAAAACGGATTTCTGTGAACCGGTCCGACCGTATGTCCTGATCATATCGAGGGATTGCTGGAGACCAACTCTCGTGGCGGTGGCGCCACCATCTAAAAATCGAATGAAAACATTGTAAAGTTCCGAATCCAGGCAACGTCTAACAGATGCAAGGTCTCGCTCAACGAGCGCTGCAAGGTTATTGGCGAGGTTGGTAAACCCAGATTTCATGCAGAGCAAACACACACCTGGGAAGCTGGTGCATGATGCGCGAACGCGCGTGAAATGATATCAGAATGAATAACGCTAATAAACAAAGAAGAATAGACCGAGTGAAGATCAGTGGCCCGTTGTTAGCAACAATATTTGTCTTAACATTAGTCTTAACATTAACATTATTAAAGTGTTATATTAACATCAACATTAGCATTAACTTAACGATGGTTCTGACAACGGCCCCCAGATATGCATCAGGCTCGTTGCAACGAGAGAGTCTTTCTATTGGCTTACTGTCGAATGGTATCGCCAGAATCTGCGCTTGAACATTGGCGAGTGTGTTCTGCGTGTGGTGTTGCAGATAGTTGAATTTTGTCGACGTCTTTCCGGTTTCCGAGAACACGACGCCACCTACGCGAATCCCGGCTGATGATACGCCATTCTCCTTGTTCAAGAACTCGACCACGTCCTGTGAGCAAATGGTGCGTTGTTAGAGACAGGTTTGATTGAATATTTCGTTCCCGCCAGCGTCCTAGGGGCGTATTGTGACGAGCATAACAAAACCGCAGCAATTGCAGAAAAAACACAGTCAATCCAACCCCAGACGCATTGAGTGCGTTTTCTTTCTCTTTAGAAACTATTGTAAAAGTAGTCCCGGTTTAGATATCCCGCTTGATGAACTTACTCCTTAGACACATATGATGAAATTAATGCCTATAGGGCTCTCCCTCTCTCCGATTAAATTTCAGAAATTCAAACGTCACTATATATATGGATGTCTCTTGACAAGCTATTGCCATAAGTTATTTTTTGCATCGAATACAGTCCTTGCATGACCGCTTCTTTGCTAGCAATCGAGGCGAGTCGATTGTATTGTGGAGCAAAACTCCGTTTCGGCTTCTAGCCTAGTTTTTATGGTGATATAGCCAAACTGCTAACCGCGATTATACGTAATAATGTTATTAACAAGACAATATAATAATAATAACCGATATAAATGCACGAGGCGCTCTCGCTCGCGATCCTCACGCTCATATATATACATACCTTCAGCACGGTTTTTGCCTGGACAAAGGCTGGGGAGCCGACGCTGCCACTGCTATCGAGCAGCAGCACGATGTCTACTGCCACCGGGTTCGGCCCACCTCCCGCCTTTCTCGCGAACGTTGTTCCTCTCGCCACCGCGGCTTTTCGAGAGAACGAGGTCAGAAAGTTGTTCTTCAGCGACGTCGCCGTTCTGCCGATCGGGTCGCTCGCCTGACGGATCTGATGCAACCTCCCTGTAAACGATGGATCACGCGTGATGAGCGCGTGAACGATGAATCCCGCATGATGAACGCGTGAACGACGGATCACGCGTGATGAGCGCGTGAACGACGGATCACGCGTGATGAGCGTGAGAACGACTGATCACGCGTGATGAGCGCGTAAACGATGGATCACGCATGATGAGCGTGTGAACAACGGATCACGCGTGATAAGCGCATGAACGACGGATCACGCGTGATGAGCGTGAGAACGACTGAT